TTCATTTTGAGGCACAGTTTTACCAATGTCACTATAATCATTTTGTGATGCTGGTAAAACACTAGAATTTCTTCGAAGAATACTACCCTCACTATCCCTAACTAAATAGGATCTGGGTGCATCATGCTTTTTGATAATAGTTGCTGGCTCCCAGACTCTATTTTTACATATGGTAACTGAATCTCCTTTATTAAATTCTTTTCTAGGTTGTGCCGTGCGATCATAATAATGCTTATATTTATTTTGCCTATTTTCTAACTCTACACTCACATTTTCTTGCACCTTTGGAGTTAATAGTTTAGTGTGTGTTGGTATTTTTGTTTTAAGCCGACGACTAAATAATAATTGGGATGGAGACACATGTAACCCTGTTATAGGGCAATTTCTATATTCCAATAATGCTACCTCTATATCAATATTAGCAAATTTACATTTTTTTAAAATACGTTTCGCAGTCTGTACAGCTCTTTCCGCTTGCCCGTTACTTTGCGGATATCGGGGGCTACTAGTTCTAATTTCAAAATTCCATTCTTTTGAAAATTTGGTACATTCATATGACCCAAAAGGAACATTATCACAAATAAGAATTTTAGGAATGCCGTGTGTAGCAAATAAAGATTTAAATTTACCTATGACTTCCTCCGATGTTTTATTACGCAAAGGTAATATTTCTAACCACCTAGAAAAATAGTCCTGTACTATAAGGTATGATTTTCCACCAAACTCACATATATCAGCAGCTATTTTATTAAATGGCAGATTTGGAATTTGATGCGGTATTAATGGTTGTCGTACATTCGAGCTTTGATAGTATTCACACACTGAACATTTTGTAATACAATTCTCTATATCTTTGTTTAAACCTGGCCAATAAACCAACTGTCTTGCCCTGCATTTCGTTTTTTCTAAACCAAAATGTGGCTCATGCAATAAATTTAGTACATACTTTCTTAATTCTAATGGCACAATAACTCTAAAATTTAAAAACAATAATCCTTCTTCAAAAACAATTTCATTTTGCAACTTAAAGTACACCTTTAAATTATCAGGAACCTCTTTTATTGATTTTGGCCAACCTTTAACATAGTAGTTTTTTAATTGCTGTAAATTAGGATCTCTTTCAGTAGCAGTCTGAAATTCTATCCTTTTTTCTTTAGTTATATTCAAGCTCCAACTAATAGAATGAACATTTTCAACTAACCATGCTTGATCTACAACCGGTGAATTACTAATGCTATAACGAGACAAACAGTCAGCGATGTGCATTTGTTTACCTGGACAATATTTTAATGTGATGTCATAGTTTAACAATTTAATCCTCATTCTTTTTAATCGTGACGAGCTTATATCTGCAATAGATTTTTTAAACAGGCCTATAAGAGGTTTGTGATCAGTAATAACAGTTATTTTCCTACCATAAATATAATTGTGAAATTTTAATGTTGCAAAAACTATACTTAAAAATTCCTTTTCTATTTGCGCAAAATTTTTTTTCTGTATTTGTTAAACTTCTAGATCCGTAACTTACTGGTTTAAATTCCTGCATTAAGCAACACCCTAACCCATGTTGGGATGCATCTGCTTGAATTGTTATTTCTTTGTTAGTATCAAAACTTACTAATGTTGGAGAATTTGCAAGTACTTTCTTAATATTTACTAATGCATCATCATGACATGGTAACCATTCAAATACAACATTGTCTTTCAGCAAGCCCCTTAATGAGCTAGTCAATTCTGACAAATTACTTATAAATGGTCTTAAGAAATTTAGCATGCCTAATAATGACTGTAACTCTTTTTTAGATTCGGGAGCCTTTAACCCCTCTATTGCCTTCACTCTCTCAGGATCAACTTTGACCCCTTCACTTGAAAAAATATGCCCTAAATACCTAACACTTTCTTGTTTAAATTGCAACTTATTCTTGTTAAATTTAACACCCATTTGCCTTGCTCTCTCTATAACTTTTTTCAATATTTCATCATGTTCTTTTTCTGTATCTGCACTAATTAATAAATCATCAAAATAAACCGTAACTCCTCTTATATCATCAAAATTTTTTTCGTTAAGGTACTGAAAATATTCAGGGGCGATCTTTATACCAAATGGTATTCTATGAAATTTATAAGATCCAAAAGGTGTGCTAAAAGTACACAAATCACTCGAGTCTTTTGTCAACTCTATCTGCCAAAACCCGTCTTTTAAGTCGAGTACTGTAAATACTTTTTTGTTACATAAATTTGTCATAATTTCCTGAACGGTGGGAATTAGCACATTAGGGATACGTTTCATTGCTAAATTTAAATACTTAGGATCTAAACATAATCTAATACTTTTATCTGGTTTTTCAACAATTATTAAATTGCTTACCCAACCTGTTGGCTTTTCGACCTTACTAATTATACCTTTACATTCCAGTTCTTTTAATTTATCTTTCAATTTGTCTTTTACTGACAAGGGAACTCTGCGAGGTGGGTTGACCACTGGTTTTACATCATCTCGTAACTCTATACTACATTTCTCATAAAATTTTCCCAAGCCCTGAAACAAATCATGATTATCTGATATAAACTTATCTTTGTCATTCAATACAACCATTTCCACTCTATTAATTAAATTTAATTCTACGCAAGTCTTTAACCCTAAAATGGGATTAACGTTTCCTTTCGTTATCACAAAGTCAGCTAACACTTCCACTTTTTTACATTTACACTTTAACTTCATAATACCTTCAGGTTTTATTTGTGCTCCACCAAACGCTTCTAATATTAAGCCGGTACGTCTAAGATCCACCTGGTGATTGATTTGTTTGAAAATCCGTTCCGGAAGTATGTTTACCTGGGCTCCACGCTCCACTATCTAATTTAAATCGTACATATTTATCTTCGACCTTGACATTTTCATTCCATGAAATTTCGTGTACGTTTCTTGTTTCAATCGTACTTAATACGGCAAGTTCCTCGTCGTCTTCGAAATTTTCTCGTACATCTAGTTGCCTGACATTTTTCTGACTGGTTACCCTACAACTCACAGCAAAATGATTAAGATTTCCGCAAAGCCTGCAGCGAACTCCGTATGCGGGACACTCCCTTGGTCCATGAGTTCTTTGACATCTTTTACATTTAAATTCTTCTTTGCGATTCGAACTTTGATTTGAGGTGTTACCCGTTTTCTCCATTGGCTTCTTGTTTGCAATTTTATTTACACTTCGCAGTTGTGGGTCCTTGATTTGCTTCATTTGCTCCTTTGTTATTTCGAATGCTTTGCATATTTCAACAGTTTTCTGTAACGTCAAGCCCTCGGTTCGCAACAACTTTTCTTGTAAATTTAAATCTTGCACTCCCAAAACAACACGATCGCGTATCATTTCTTCATTAAGGGTTTTAAAATCACAGGTACTTGCTAATTTCGTTAAATCAGTTAGGAATTGCTCAAAACTTTCACCTTCACATTGATTTCTTTTATGAAAAACGAAACGTTCATACACCACATTTGTTTTCGGCAAGCAATAACCCTCGAATGCTTCGATAACTTTGTCGATGTCCTTGCGGTCATCGTCACTTATAAACATTGTATTAAAAACTTCTACGGCCTCTTCTCCGATGATATTTAAGAATATAGCCACTTTCGTTTCACCATCTTTAGCATCTTTCCCGGTTGCCTTCATAAAAATTTTAAAACTTTGTTTAAACTTTCTCCAGTTTTCCGCTAGATTTCCTTGTAAACTTAAGTTATTGGGTATTTTATATAATTCCATTCTTGAGACTTAAAAAAAACTTGAATACTTGAACAAAAACGTGACACGTGATGATCTAACCTCAACTTGCTTGTAATACTTAACAACTTTTATACTTTTATGAACATTACAACTAAGGTACATGTACAGCATGTAAAAACCTAACCTTCTACACCCTTGGCAGCGTTGCCATTACAGTTTTAGTGTATACCCTGAGAGGAAAAGAGTCCAAATGGAAGAGAGGGAAGGTCATGAAGAGGATTAGTGCTGTCACCTATTTGGTACTTATTGACTGTGGTATAATAATATCATTGAGTTAGAAAACTAATGGAGGGAATATAATGGTAGAGGGGGTAAGAATTTTTGTAGGCGGAAGTTGCCACAGATAGAGACGTTGAGATAAAAGGGCTAAACTCCGTACAATCTGCGCATGCGAAAGAAACGTCAATGTTGCAATGTTATTAATTAAAATGTAGGTTAGATTATTGTTTTCAATGTTTTCATCACAGGCCGTTATAATGAATAAACATATTCGTAAATCGTAATGTACATTTAAACTCGCACTTTTGAGGTTGTATACCAAGAGCCATGTTTCCCTGCAGCAGTATAAATTCCGAAAAGGACAGTATAAGCCCTATGTTCACAAATCGTAACCCAAGACATTTCAAATATCTACGAATCGCTCATAAACCGGACGGCTACTACGATGATAAAACTGGAACGCTCCTACTGGCATAAATATACAAATTTGCTTTCCTACCGCCTCCAATAAGATAGCCCGATTGTAGATGGCAATTGACACAAACAGGCCGTCACGTAACTTCATTGTTCGTGCATTACTTCAACGGACCCGACACTCACCGCTAGCACGAAGGAATGGGCCATCAAAACCAGGCTGTATAAGACCATGCACCAAGTCATTGGCGTACGTGAATGTCACACGGTCACGTCCCTGCATTCAATTTAATGTTTGCTACTTGTAGATTTCAGTTGTTCGTACAAAGATGCCTTGCAAGCAGTCCGACAGATTTTATGTGCGATTGCAAACCCGAACACAACGTCAGTAAGGTCGCAAAGTTTCTAATGTGCTTCAAGATTTCAATTTGAAATTGCCAATTCACTATAACTAAGGTGCCCTTTTTATTATTGTGTAGTTTATTATTTAATGTTTAAAATATTGGTAAGCAATAAAAAGTTTACATATTTATCAAATTTATTGTTCTTGAAACCCATTAACTTCTTAAAAAATCAAATAAACGGTTTTTCATGCAATCTAGAAATTAGTAAAAAGCACCTTTTTTGGAAGAACCTTTGAGAACAGGGAAGCATCTCGGGAAACTGAACGTAGGGCTTTCTATCACTTCATTGGAGCGACCCAATACTCAGCCTTCTCTTTACAGAAACTATGGAAGCACAAGTACAAATAAAACTTTATTGTAAATTATGCAGCTATCTACCTAATAGGTACACAATTTAAGGTCGATTCACATTATCTGTCAAGTCAGATTATATCCCACGGTTTTGGTAATCTTTCTCTCGTCCACGGCTCTCTTGACTATTCCGGCTCAGACAATTTCAAATTGAAATCTTGGAGCACGTTAGAAACTTTGCGACCTTATTGCCGTTGTGTTGGGGTTTGCAATCGTATATAAACTCTGTCGGACCGCTAGCAAGGCATCTTTGTACGAAGAACTGAAACCTACAAGTAGCAAACATTAAATTGAATGCAGGGACGTGACCATGTGACGTTCACGTACGCCAATGACTTGGTGCATGGTCTTATACAGCCTGGTTTTGATGGCCCATTCCTTCGTGCTAGCGGTGAGTGTCGGGTCCGTTGAAGTAATGCACGAGCAATGAAGTTACGTGACGGCCTGTTTGTGTCGATTGCCATCTACAATCGGGCTATCTTATTGGAGGCGGTAGGAAAGCAAATTTGTATATTTATGCCAGTAGGAGCGTTCCAGTTTTATCATCGTAGTAGCCGTCCGGTTTATGAGCGATTCGTAGATATTTGAAATGTCTTGGGTTACGATTTGTGAACATAGGGCTTATACCGTCCTTTTCGGAATTTATACTGCTGCAGGGAAACATGGCTCTTGGTATACAACCTCAAAAGTGCGAGTTTAAATGTACATTACGATTTACGAATATGTTTATTCATTATAACGGCCTGTGATGAAAACAATAACCTAACCTACATTTTAATTAATAACAATTGCAACATTGACGTTTCTTTCGCATGCGCAGATTGTACGGAGTTTAGGCCTTTTATCTCAACTTTTACAACGTTTGCCGCGCGCAAACTGTCAAAGGCGCCAATTGTCAACTGCGCGTTTAAATCGTCGTTAAGTTTTCTGCAATTTTCCAATTTTCTGAGCGATTTTCTTAGCTTTTCTTGTCGTAAGAACCTTCTACACAGTATTAGAAAACTTAAAAAAAAAGATGAATGGAATCGGTCAAGTCGTTCTAAAGTTATTGCGTGACCAGAAGAAACCGGGGTTCATTTTTATATATAGAGATTATACGGATATAATATTCTCTCGTGTGTCCTAAGTGTCCGGTGGAGAAGGTTTACTTGATTTTCTGAAACTGCAAGCAGTCATGCAACTGCGTTCACAGCCACATGAAGTAAGTTTGAGGAGACTTTCCTGGCGCCTATCACAACGACTTCGGATCCAGCCCCGGAAAGTCTGTCAAACTTATTAACAGGTAGACCTAGGCTAACTTCTGAGTATCTACCTTCTATGAAATTTCAGGAGAAATCTTCAGCTAAAAATATTTCATCTAGACCTCATAGATCGCGAGATATCAGCCAAAAGGGGCGAAAACACGGTTTTTGGGGGGTGGTGGGGTGGCTGGAGCCTTTAGCACAGGATCTGGGTGGTGGGAATTTTAATATGTTATTGTTTCTGACACCTAACATGAACATATTCCACCAATTTTTTCTTTTCCACCCCAAAATGTCCAGTTTGCCAATTTTACAGTCTCTATCGCCTAGACTACATATTACGACGCTTATTATTTAGAAAGTTCAAGTTCAAGTGATACCGTATGAATAAGGGTTATTTGTGTTTTACATATGGCGTTGTACGGTTATTATTTCCAATGCCTCCGACGGTTGCAAGGATTGCGAAATCTGTAAATTTTTTGATTAGTTTACTGATCACGAATTCCTAACCTAGGTACGCATAAAATATTTTCGCTCAAATATTGAACCCATGTTGTTGGCCCCGCCCACATGAAATAATTTGACAAAAATGTGTCGACAGTTAGTGCTACGTTAGTGCTCCAAGCCTATCGTTAGTGCTGCTATGTAACGTGAGAAAAATAAGAAAAACAGAGGCGGAGCCAACTTCTCATTCTATGTTTACTTATCCACAATGAACACACACGGTCGTTATGTTAGTGAACTTAAATGCTAAATAAACAGTAACTCAAATTCTTTAACTGTTCCTAAAAAAGTTAAGTGTGAAGTTGAACCTGCCCATACATTTTTAATTAGATAAAACCACATGTGATTGTTAGTGCTACGTTAGTGCCGTTTTGTGCTCGAAAATTGCGATTCCAGCATTTCATCTTTCCAAGAAAAATGAAAAAACCTAAAATATTGTGTGAAGTTGGCCCCACCCATGACTCGTTTTTTTTTTAAAACCCACATACTATCGTTAGCGCTACGCACGGGGCCTGGGCACTTCGCCGAATGCCCACAACGCCGACCGTGCCTGGACCGTGCCCACATCGTCGACAAGTGTGCAAGGGACACAACGCCGACAATGCCCACTTCGCCGACCGTGCCCACTACGCCGACAAGTGTACAAAGAACACTAAGCCGAACGTGACCATAACGTCGACTCATACAATACTGCTTAATGAAGCTGGACGGTGTGCAACACCAAGCAGCTTTTGACGTTAGGTTATTGTAGGTTTAGAATATTTTGTTTAACTTTTTTCGAACCACGGACTCATATGAAAATTCTTAATAAACCTGGACAGAGTATGAGGGCCCTGGTATTTCGAATAGTCGGCGCGGCGTTGTGGTCGAGACCTGTAAAAATGCATTTATTCATCCACAACTACGAAACCAAGGTTTGTCCACAACTATCTGCAAATTCTGGATTTAATTTCAATGGCTCTTAATTTTAGAGAGTCGTCTAGCAGTATGGATAGTAGCACCAGACGAAAACGGATGAGATTCATTCGTATGGGGGAAAAAATTGGATAAGTAATTAGGTACGTGAAAGTTTCCATAGTGTTTTTAGTAGTACTTCACCAAGAACGGTCAAGGTAAAGTTGCAACGTGCACAAAATAAACAGGTGAAGACACGCAGAAAATTACGAAAACCTGAAAATGAAAGTTAGATATAGACAGAGAAAAATTGAAAGTCAAAGGTTTTTATTGTGGTTTCTACAGCCGATCGATTTCGACGTACCACGTCATCATCAGGCCGAGCGTCATCGGTTATGAAAAGTACAAAAATATTATTATATATTTTTGTACTTTTCATAACCGACGCTCGGCCTGATGATGACGTGGTACGTCAAAATCGATCGCCTATAGAAACCACAATAAAAACTTTTGAGTCTCAATTTTTCTCTATGTCTATATCTAATTACTCAAACATAACATGGAGTTCTTCATTAACAAAGTTAAAGTTAGATCATTAAAGACTGTAATTGCAGACTTAATATTAAGGAAAGATCAAAATCTGTCTGAACATGCCTTAATTTAACTTTTTTAATTTTTTTTTCTTTCCATCAGTGGACAATAGTTGTCGGTTCCCTTCAAGTCTAAAAGACTTATCGAAAGGTTACCATTAATACAGTATTAACAATTTACAAAGATATTGACATACCTGACGAACCTGGGTTGAGGTGAATTTTTCATCTGTGGCGGAGATGGAAATTACCTTAGACCAGTTCCGAGCATTCTACCGGCTACTCCGAATTAGGTTTTCCTGCAGTTTTCCTAATTGGTAAGGTAAATACTGGAGTAGTATAGACCAACTTAAGACCTTCTGCAGAGGCACCTCTAAATAGCATTATGCGGGTCACTCTGTAATTGGGCGCATGCCTGTTGAGGGCCCAAAACAAGAGAGGGATAAAATAAAATAAAAAAATAAAAATAAAAAAAACATATGTTGAATGCAGAAATGAATAGAACTTCACTGCAAAAAAGGAATAAATAAAATGTTAGTCTATAATTGTCATTAAATAAAATAGTTCACTATCGCTGCATAATTTAAACTTCACACCTTCAAGGAATAGGCTACCTACTGCAAAAAAATCCAGGACTCTAGGACCATTCCCCTAGAAGTAGTTCGAAACGGCAGAAGTGGGTCCGGACGGACGGACGGACGAACGGACAAAACGTAAACAATAGCACATTTTTTTTAATTCTTAAAAAATGCGTTAAAAATGATAAACAATACAGTATATACCTACTATTTTTACGGGCCATATAAAAAGTTAATGATGATTTCTCTGCAACGAGGCGGTTGAAAATCTCTCAACGCTATCTTGTAGAGCTTGTTCGTTTGTGTCCGCTATAACTCTTAGTTAAGATCCCCTGATACTTTTTATAGCTTTTAATTTTTGTCCGTATGTTTGTCTGTCCGTCCGTGTGCGCGATAACTCTTTTTAAGTGACTGATCCTGCTGAAATTTGGTGTACCTACGCGCTTGCGGGTACTTTGGAGGTAGGTTGCTATTATATTTGAAGAAGAGATACCCTTTGATCACACAATCTTTGGAGAATCATGTGGACGACAGTGGTGTCATGCTGCTAGACGAAGAAAAACTGCACTTTCAACAAGATGAGACTCCCCACATTCTTAAAGACTTCAGGTTCTCAGATAGGTTTGGATGGCGGTCCGTCCTTTTGTTTGTCCGTTCATCTGCCTTCACTATATCTCTTGTGGTTAAGATTTTTAAAGCTTTCATTTTTCTCCATCCATCCGTCCATATGTCTGTCCGTGTCCAGCGGATATCCGTGTGCATTATTCTTTACACATGAATTTAAATTAAAAGCTTTCAAACGCCTTATCTTGATGCCAAAAGAGTACGTTAGATTATTGAATAATTAACTAATCCTTCACTCAACGATTAGTGCACATTTGAATTTGATATCCGCGTGTATTTGATTCAATGATCTTAAATTCTTTTTTTTGATGCCGCACGTGTATTTTGATCAAAACATGTCAAAATCGTTATTCTTGCACCGAGATCGTTTGGAAAAAGAGCAAGAACATGATCTCAATGAACAATGATCAAGACATCAATATTAGGATTAGAGTAAACAAGTTACTCTATGGATGGATCGAAGGTGCAAGGTTAAAATAAATGGTCGTTAAAAAAGTGATGGTATCACCATAGCCATATCAGTAATACTAATAAGTACCCTATGGTAATACCATTGAATGGTAATACTAAGGATCCTTCGCAATACTTAAAACAAGGTGTATTTACGTAGAATGACCACGAATCCAGCCTGGCATTTGGCAACATATGATTTTCCTTTATCCTAAAACCATATACCTATTCAAAACAATGCGCTTAGTTTTGCCGCGCTTCTATTATCAAATCCAATCGAATAGGTAGGTAAGCATCGTGCTCAGAATTAGTAAACATTTTGACTTTAATTTAATCAGCTTCGATCCATTTAATTAAATTAATAAGTTTTATACAGAGTGTATAAAAATCTAATGAAATGTATTTAAAAATGTTGCTTATTAGTTTATTACTAGCTGGATGCCAAATTCGAAAATGTATATACAGGGTGATTCCTATAGTACCTGCCACCGTTTGGGAGCGTGTAGGTGGTGCGTAGGGGAGTATTTTGATATAGGACACTTGGGGTCGGAAATCTAAAATAAGGTGCCAGAGCCAAATTTACCTTCTGGAATTTCGCGCCTGTAGGTAGGCAACCCAACCGGCCGGCGGTGCACACGGAGCGATCTCAGGCGGCGATGTGTGGCTGACACTTGATCAGAATTTTGTTTAAACCCACGAAATCCCGTCTGCAACGACGCGTATCAAGTGAATAAACACTATGGCAATAGTATAATAATAGTTGGCTAGATGTAGGAAGTGCATTGAGAACAACGGTGGCCACGTTGAACACTTGTAAACGTTATTGCTTTGACTGTCGTTTTCCCTCCTTCCCTCCCATGTCGCTTCCTCGCGCTAACTCGCTCTGCATCGCTCCGCGCGAAACGTCGGTCGGTTGGGTTGCCTACATACAGGCGTGAAATTCCAGAAGATAAATTTGGTTCTGGCGCCCTTATTTTAGATTTCCGACCCCAAGTGTCCCATATCAAAATACTCCCCTAGGCACCCCCTATACGCTCCCAAACGGTGGCAGGTACTATAGGAATCACCCTGTATATTAAATAAATGTTTTAAGATCTCCACGGATGCTCGGTCTGTAAAAAAGTTTTTGTCAATAACCATTGAATAAAAATTAGTGCTTTTATTCAATGCTATAATGACGTCGTATAAGCCTAAAACTAGTTCCAGTTTTACATTAATCATTAATTAACAGATTTTTTATTCAACGGAAAGCTTCATCTTTATGTCTCTTTATTACTTAATGATAATATAGTACCGTGAAATGTGTTCATCCGTTTCAGATAAACTATGGAACCTATTATCAATTATGTTTAATTAACGGCATCCCGTCTGATAAAAAATTCCCAGAAGGTCCAAAAATTGGAATCCCTTCACAAATGTTTCAAGATATATTTCTCGGAAGGTATTAAGAGATTTGCATTCGACCAGGTTGGCGTAACATTTCTTTAAAATTAAGATATAGGTACGTTTAACACCAATTATCATTTCCTAGAGAAAATAGAACTTGCAAATTTACGATTGGACAAACGCTGATAACAAGTCATCTCTCTCCCATCCGTTGCCATAAATAAATATAACCACACCACTATTTTACTTATTGTTGTGTAGAAGTGGGTCTATAGACCAGTTCTTATAATTATAATGTATAAAATGGCTTCCTTTAGAGCGGACGCTTTCCTTTTCAAGATAATAGTTGTTGTAAACGCTGTTGTAATTTGTACAGCTTACGTGCCGGCTACATTACCACCAGACAGAAGTGTCAATTTCGTCGGTGCAGCTAAAAAACTGCCCCCTCGTGGACCAGGGATATGCAACTTGGAAGTCCCGTAAGTTGCTTTTACACAAATTTGATTAACTTGGGACTTATTATTTGTACGACCTTGAAGTTTTGCACCTATCTTTTACTAATGAGCACGTGAATTTTCCAGTACCATTGACCTCCTTACCGAAGCAGATAGACGAGGACCGATACCTGCTGGCAATGGGGTTAGTATTCACACCTTTTCTTTAGCTGCTTCAGCTGCTTGTATATATCTATTTCCATGACGTGTTGGAAACGTTGCTACTTACCTAACCTAGTTTAAATACATTCATCGGATTAGGGGATTTCATTTCTTTTATTTCAATCTGTGTACGGACACACAATGATAACCTTTACTATCATCATTAACTATGTTTATAAATAATTATCATACACTAATTTATATAATATGATAGTACTAATTACAATTGCATTATAAAATCTTTTGTCGGTTAGCATACGCAATAAAAATGGCAAAATTCCCAAAAACAAACTAATCACATGAATTCGATGATTATTACACACATCACATCGGTTACATAAAATATTGATTGTTCAAGGACATCTCTAACGGCCCACCCACACGCATGACTAACAAGAGTCATTTTATTGCTATGTATACACGATAAACAATGGATTCCCCAATAAATATTTAGAAATTTTTGTTTAATTAGTTCTAACCGTGCATGCATTTTTGAAAGTCGTTAAGCAGAGCATAAAATTTATAAGATTGTTCCCTGTTCCGAATACGAAAAGATTTGCAGCTGCCGCGCACGCAAAAAATTTAGACCAGCGAAACGATTTTATTTAACTAAGCTAAACCAAAATAAAATCCGAATCTGACGACAGCGTACCTAGGTCCCCAGTGGACACCCTCGTTCCGCGTTTTATTTTAAAGACTACCTACCTAGCTAGAAAAGTCGCCGCGGCTATCAATTCACGGCTAAAGCAAGAGAACCCAAATTATAACTACTTTTTCACTCTTTAGAAAGTAACAGTTAACCGGTGGTAAAATCGCATAACTTTTGCAGTCTCCTAACGTCGTATTTGGTGAGCAGCTTCGTCTCCATTAACATTATTTTAAGCTCGAAAGTGTATTCCCCGTACCCATCTTCCAAATTAACAGAGAAGCGTAAATATATAAAACTTTTTGTTTCGTGAATGAAGGAACATTCAAAGAATCAAAGATGTAAGTCTAAGTCTAAGGTATTGTGCCCGTTTTCGATATTATTTATCGAGATATTTAGAATTTGCATACAGGGTGGCACAATGAAAACGAAACAGACTGAATAACTCGCAAAGAAACCATTTTTAGAAAAAAACGCAAAAACACGTAGATTTTGGTTAGGAGGACGTCCTTTACTTGAAAATTTACACCCCTGCTGCTCTAATCAGGGTTACTACCCCTCCAATAATTTTAAATTGAGCGTTGGATCGAGTGACACATCATTTCCTACAAGTCTTTAAGTCTGCAAATTCGAGCGAGTATTTTGGAAGATACTACTGCTACTCACTGATGTAGGGCTCGAGTAAATGCAACAAATTATGTAACATAAGTACGTCTGGTTCACTGAAATTAAATCGTATCGGTATTTTACCGTGATAGTAGGTATACCTAAAAACCCAAGACAAAACATTGGAGGTTTTATTATGTTGATTTCTCATGGTTTATGTTCTTCACGATTGTTTTATGTGTAGTTAATAGGTATTTCTTATGAACGTGTTCATTCCCATAAAAGCTTGAATATCCACTTTAGGTAATTATTTTTGTCATGTGACACCCCAGGTCCTTCAAAACACTCGCTTAAATTTGAAAACGAAACCATATAGGAGTGTCAGAAATTAATAACCCTGTCCAAAATTATTGAATGGGTGGCGACTCTGCTTATGGGATTGACGCCAAGGGTCTAAATTTTTAAGTAAAATATGCCCCCCTTCCATCCGAAATCGACCTATTTTTGCTTTTTTCCAAAAAAAATACTTCCTTACGGGTAATTCAGTCTGTTTCATTTTCGTTGTGACATCTTGTATTATGTACCTATAAGCAATATTATCAAATTATATACTAATTTTACTTACATAATTTTAAATTTCACTTTCAGACCAAACCAGGGCACAGTATAATAAGCATTTGCTGTTCAGGATGGAAACCCAAACCGCACGTTGCTAACAAGTGCGAACCCATTTGTGACAATGGATGTGTTAATGGCAATTGCACAGCACCGAACGTCTGCGTTTGCTTACCAGGATATGTCAGGGACCTAGGCAACAATTGCATCCCAACCTGTCCCAAAGGTTGTGTACATGGCGTATGCACCTTACAAGGGACATGTTCCTGTTCTGCCGGTTATACTCTTGACCTTAAAGGACAGTTTTGCATTCCGATTTGTACTGGAGGATGTGGAGCGGGTGGCAACTGTACAGCTCCCAACGTGTGTTCCTGTAAACCTGGGTAAATTTTGTTGCACAACTAAATATCGGATTAATTCTCTTTTATAGGTACAAGAAAGTATTAGCAACCGGAAAATGTGATTTCAACTGTGAGGGAGGGTGTCCTAGCGGTACTCATTGCGTCGGCCCTAATGAATGCTCTTGTCCTGCGGGATTCATCAAAAGAAATAATGCTTGCGAAGCGCAATGTCCTCGAGGTTGTTTAAATGGTCTTTGCACAGGACCCAACCAGTGCACTTGCCCATCGGGATGGACACTTGACCTAACTGGTACATCCTGCCAAGCGCATTGTACACAACCATGTTTAAACGGAGATTGCACTGGGCCGAATGTATGCACGTGTAAAACGGGCTACATCAAAGATCCATCTGCTCCGGCTGGCAATCGATGCGTAGCGCATTGTCCTGGTGGATGTTTAAACGGTCAGTGTTCAGGGCCTAATTTGTGTATCTGCAATCCAGGTTTTATCAAGAACCAAGGAACAAACACGTGCATTAGAAGAATGCGACGAGAATTACATATGGAATTAATTCCTGAACAGCTTAACGAATTCAGTCGAGATTAATTTTTAATTTTACATGTGCTTTAATTTTAACGTTTTTATTATTTTACAAATTTCAATGTACCTAATAAACAGGTTTTTCAAATTGAGATTTTCAAGACAGTACTTCTGTGGACCATATTGTAGGAGTACCTACGCAAGTATCTAAATAGAGGGTATTGCTAAAGTATTGCACTTACACTAATCATTGATATATCAAAATGTTCGATGTGTGTCACACGTCCAAAATCCAAATAGTAATATAGCTGAGATCACGCATTCTGTAACCAACAGCTATTGTTAGCACAGCACCCCTGATGCTTCCCTTAAGTTCACTTGATGGTCTTAGCAGTGGGATACATAAACATTCGCAAACGTAGGAATAAGAAGGCGGGGGGTCTGGGGGCCATGCGAACACAGCTAAGTCATTTGCACTTCCAGTGATGTATAAGTTGTCACTTTTTTCCTCAATTCACCTCCTAGTCCAGTCACACTATGCCAAAAACGGCAAACGAAACGAAAAAATAATTCGTGTGTAAAGTCCCGAACGGTTTTGTTGCCGCCGTAGGGTGGGGAGGGGGTGAAGGTAACGTTTTGCAGTTTGGCGGTCATATTTATAAGTGACATCAACCCATATACTTTGGTAGAAGTCGCTTCATAATGCGAGAAGTGTTCCAATATAGCGGAATTGGCTGATTTACAAACTGGACTGAGAGTTACGCCAACCTATTTTGGAGGAAATTATAGAGTGAAACTTTCAACATGTCAGTTTTACGTAAAAAATAAAATTAGAATAGAAATAATAAACAAATGAATATTATCAAAAATATTTCTATGCTTTCCGCCATCTCTCAGCTTCCCACCTTGGACATTCCAAAACCGCATGTCCCGCTCCGTCAATGACCCCACAGTCGTTACACTTCCGTGCTCTCTCTTTCATATTTCTATTTATTCTATTTTAGAATATAATCCTTTTTATAAGCACCAAAATGAGGGTATTAATTGGACTTTATGGCACAAAACTGTCAAAAATTGCCTAGCAACGATACTGCCACTCGCAAAACTTGCTGTATTCTTTTTCATATAGATCTTTGGATTTATGAGGAACCACTTTACTTTGTGCGATTTCGAATTCACGTAATATTTCGTCAGAATAAACGTTTTCCATTTCAGCTACACTCATTTCCAACACCGAATTATTTGATAAAAAGTAAACAGTCTCAGTATTCATAGCAACACAAAAAACGCCAACTATCTACACCACTCATATTTGGTTAGCGACAAATTCCTGCAAGAACTACTAATCCCTTTTAACTTTTTAGAAATTGTGCTAAAATAGAATAAAACGTTGTATGTACCACGGGAATAATCGATTATGGCCCTCGAGAAATTAAAAGCCCTCCTTCGTCGGGCTTTAAACATTCTCTCGTGCCATAATCTTTTGATTATGCCCTTAATACATAAATAACTATTATTGTTCCATTTTCTCCGTGCCCGGTAATAAACTGAGTGACATAATAATCTAATTCACTGTGTCTTCTTTGGATCCACCCCTTGAGATTGCCTATTACGGTTTTAGCTCATGACTCGCGCTCTTGCCACTCCGTTTCCCACATGCTTATAACATCCGCGTACTTTTTTCCTTCATACCTCGTGCTGACCTTTAATCTCAGTGGAGGTGTGCCCATCATCACCAACACGTCCGTACTGGATACCATTCGGTACGCCGCTGCTATTCTTAGCTCCATCACAGATAGGCTATTTTATCTGTGGCTCCATTTTTCTTTGCAGTCTATCTAGCATGTTTCCGACTTTCTTATAGCGCTAACCCACACCTCACATCCGTATAGCACTATGTTATACACCGCCGAGGCTAGAACCCTTCTTCTTCCCTCCCGAGGGCCCCCTGTAATCTACATCAGTCTATTCAGATGTTCTGCCGTTCTGCTTGCTTTTTCAATTACTCTATCGACGTGCTGTATAAAGTTAAGACCTTGATGCCTAGAATCTCTATCGTTCTTTCCATGGGTACCCTCGCCTGGTCCACCATCAGACTGGCCTCCGGCAGCCTTCTTTTACCGGCCATTAGCGCCGCTTTTGTTTTTGTGCCTACCAGCTTAAGACTTCCATCCATTGTTGTACCTTTCGTACCGTCCACTCAAACTCGCGATCTCTGACCACCACACTAACATCATCCGCGTAAGCCATAAACTTCACCCCCGGCGGTACCCCCAGTCTCAGCACCCCGTCATAGGCGATGTTCTTTAATATTGGCCCTAGCACCGAGCCTTGCGGCACTCCATCGTTGACTCCAAACGTATATCTCGTCCCTGACGACAATTTCACGGTGTTATTCCTATTAATGAGGTAACTATACTATATATAAGTTTCCTAACTCGGTGTATTCTTTCTTCCCAGTTCCTCCATAATCGTCCTCGTCGGAATCGAATTGAACGCATTTTGCACGTCTAGAGAGGTAGTAATTTCCACCTCCCTAGTGCGCCTGGTGCCTCTCATAATGTTTTCGGAAATGTTTTTGATCTGGCTCAGCGCCTCTCTGGTGCCTCTCCCTTTTCTAAATACATATTGACTTTCTGATAAACTTGCGTACAACTCAATTCTTCTACCCAGTACTCGTTCCAGCAGCTTCCCCAAGTGACTTACCAACGAGATTGGTCTCACCGATCCCTGGTCCTTCTTTGGAATGAGGACTACGTTCGCCTCCTTCCACTTCTCTGGGTACTCTCCAGTAGACATAACCTCTTCAAACACCTTTGCAAACCATTCCGGTCTCGCTCCCGCAACTCTGCTAACCAGTTCCGGTGGCAGCCCATCCGGGCTAGGTGCTTTTTTCTTCGGCATTTTTTCGACCGCGTCCCTTATTTCCTGTACGGTGACCTTTCTAGGGGTTTGCTCCTCTAACTCCGTATCCTATTTCTGGACTACAGCATTTTGTTTTGTAGCGGGAATAACCTGTCTATTTTCTCGATAATCTCCGCGTCTGTGCCCACCGCACCCTCGATCTTTTTCCTATTTTGCCTGTTACTATTAAATTAACAACTAAAAACTCGCAGTATTGCAAAGTTGGCAATTGTAAAGATGGAATATGGCTTTGATTAGTTAGACCATTGTATTTATAAGCGAAAAATACAATGGTTAAACTGACGAATGGTGCACAATATGCTAGAAGTAGAATTTCTAAGTCCCGATCCCGCCAACAAGAACGTGGTAGATCGATAGAACGATCACCATCTATAAGATTGTGTGCCCTCAGAGTAAGAAATAAAGATAGAGATGCCTAAATAGATTTTTAAATTAGTATAAGAGTTGTGATAAACAAACAATTATAAGATTAAATTAAACAGTTTAATAAGAAAATTTATGATAATTAGTGTGTCACGACGGCAACGCTGGAACAATTTGACACGGATTTCTGTTAATTTCTACAAAACGTAATTTCTACATGTTTAACTCATTTTATAGATTTAAAACTTATTCCACTGTGTTTAATAATGTATCAGCACTCTTTGACATGGGGGAAGGGTGTACTTTTTGTGGAATTAGTGTAGTTACCTACTAACGTTTACCTTTCCTTTTGTCCTCTCAACTGTCAAACTGTGGGTTATGTTGGATCAAAACGTATGCGTCCTCTATTTTTATTTCTTACTCTAAGTGTGTGCCCGATACAGTCGTCGTCTGTGTTGCGAGATGCAATGATTTTAAGCCCTCTTAATTAGTGTAGCAAATTTTGGTAGAACAATATCAAAACCCTATCAAGTCAATAAGGTATTATAATCATAGAGGCCTCTATGGTATAAATAAGTCATGGTACAATAAGACGAGGTATGCCTATGCGCATGCGCTCGTGACATCATTGGGATAACTGGGCTCTACCACTCAATAAAGTAATGGGGTTCAATCTGTCAACTGCGGTCTCTCGAAAAAAATTCGCACGGGAAAGTTATAGTTTGTACAAAGCAATTTATTTTGATGAAACCTTTCATTAAAAAGCTATGCACGTTTTACTTTCAAAAACAACATCTAAGGAAATAATTCGTGGGAGGGCGGCCCCTTTTAGACAGCGCAATTTGATGGCCGTCTGGCACACCTTCAAGGTATAGGCTACCTACTGCAAAAAGTTCCAGGACTCTAGGACGATTACCCTAGAAGCAGTTCGAAACGGCAGAAGTGGGTCCGGACGGACGTACGGATGGACAAAACACACACAATACCACATTTTTTTAATTCTTAAAAAATGCGCTAAAAACACTTTAGAGCACATCTATTACACGTGACACTTCCAAGGATTGATTTTGTATCCATATACCATTTTCAAACTTGGCGGTGATTCTTGTGACGTCATTGGGATAAAAACGTCATCTGCGCGAACTTGACGAATTTGCGTTCAGTTATATATGTCGTAGGCATATTGTAAAATCAGTCATTTTATAATACGCCTAGGCAGTTTATAAAACGCGGGCAGTGTACTTTCTAGAGGTAAGCGATTGGTTCCCTTCCTCTTCAAGAGCGATCCCTTACGCATCTAGAAGGGGAAGGAAAACTACCCCAACCCCACAAGTCAGCATTTCACGAAATGACTCCGCAATTTAGAAATGACGGATTTTACAAAATGCCTACGACATAAAACTGCCTAGGCGTATTATAAAATGATTTTACAATATGCCTACGACATAT